CATACGATTCCTTATTATAACCTATTTTTATTTTAAGATGTCTTATCAATGTGAAAAAAAAACATGAAACCAAAATTAAAAATAAAAGCCGCTATCTTGCAGCCAAAAAGTTTCAATTTCAAACGAAATAAAAGAGCAAAAAGTTTTTTTCTTTGAAAACAAAAATACAAACTTGAAATGCACATATCTAGGTAGGTACTCTTAAAACAAAAAGAGAGCAAACAGTTTCTTTTCTTTGAAAAATAAAATGCAAAATTTAAATGCATATATATAAGTGCTCCTAAAACAAAAAAGAAAGCAAAAAGTTTCCTTTTTTAAAACAAAAATATAAAATTGAAATGCACATATCTAAATACTACTAAAACAAAGAAAAAAGACAAAAGTTTCTTTTCTTTGAAACAATAATACAAAATTGAAAGGACAATCTATCTCTACTCTCCTAAGACAAAAAACCGCTAAAGGTTTCTATTCTTTGAAAATTAAAATACAAAATTGAAATGCACATATATAGGTGCCACTAACACAAAAAAGAGAGCCAAAAATGTCCTCCTAAAAATATTATTACGAAAATTATAACTGAACTAATTAAATCAAAATTTTTATTTATATTGATTTATATGGACGTAACAAATATATATATATATATATATATATATATGAATGACTATTTATAAAAGAATAAAGCTTGATATCAAGTTGTGCAAAATGCGAATTTAAATCCGCGACTTTGTGAATACAAAACTGTTTACTGCACCACGAACACTCCACTAGAATTAATTTTTAATAATTGGCCAATAATGCAATACGTATATTTTATTACAATGTATAGCCCCGCAAGAATACTACATATTAAATATATTTTTTCGTTCCAGGAATATCACACGCAGCATAAAAGGATCAAGGTTATGAGACACTAAAGTACTCATTGGAGTTTTAATTTGCAACAGAGCAACGTATTGTGTTACAAGTGCACAGAGGATCAAGTCAGTGCAAAATATTTCGCATTAATTTCGCTCGAATCGACTTTCGTCCGACAGTCGGAGCTAAATTGATTCGCCGCCTAATTGCAGATGCACTAATTACGCGAATTCTCAACACCAGCCGAATTTCAATTTTAATTGCAACAACTTAAGTGCCTTTAATCAATAAATTAAAACCGAGTGCTACATGGGAAGGAAAATAATATAAATAAGTGCTATAAAAAAAAAGTTTGTTTCACTGAACCAAATATATTCATTCAATGACGTAACTGCCATTTTACTGTGAATTTGATATTACGTACAAAATCTACTAAATTTTAACAGCGACGTGTTCTAAAAGCTCTATTTACTATCGTGCATCATAACCTAATATTTTTTCTCGAAAGTTAACCCAGGGATCTTACATTCTTCTTTTTTACGTTTAGACTATATATATTAGGGTGGTCCTTAATATGGACATTTTTCGAATTTCTTTGCTCCCAAGGGCTCAAATGCTTCCAAACTGATAAAAAAAATTCTCTGAAAGTTTTAGCTCTTAATATTACTTTAAGATAGTGCGCAAATCAATCAAACTTTGTATGGAAATAGCACGGAAAAAATTTGAAAATTAAAAAAAATTTTTTTTAGGTATAACTTAGCGACAAATGAATTAAAAGTGAAAATTCGTGTCAACTTTTATTGAAAATTCGACGCTCTGCAAAACAGGTTTTTTAACATTTTTTTGTAGAGCGTCGAATTTTGAATAAACTCATTCATTTGCACGCTAAATTTCATTTTTGAAATTTTTGAAAATTTTTCCATGCTATTTCCATACAAAACTTTGACTGAATAGCGCACTATCTAAAAGACAATATTAAGAGCTAAAACTTCAGAGAATTGTTTTTTATCAATTTGGAACCCTTTTGAGCCCTTGGGAGCAAGGAAATTCGAAAATGTCCTTATTAGGACCACCCTAATATATATATAATATAATATGTAATAAATATATATATATATATAATATATAGATATATATTATATATATATATCTAACAGTGTTGGGAAATTGATGTTGCAGCAATGCCCATGAAAAGAGATTTTCACTTAAGGGGAGCCTAATTTAGAGCCTTCCAAAAATCGCTTGTTTTAAGGAATTTTAGGAAAAGAATAAAATTTAATTGAAACGAAGCTTTCAAGTTTTATTGTTGTTTATATTTCAACATTCTTTTAAAAATTTTTCATTAAAATATATGTCATAATATGCAGGGTACAAGCATTTTGCCAAGGCACCACGAGCATGCATGTGTCGTTTGACGGAAAAGATGCAGGCCACAATTCCCATCCAAAACAAAAAAACCAAATTTATATTTTTAATAGTATAGATTCTAGTTAAACCTTAATTTTTTTAAAAAAATAAGAAATTCACAAATTTTTCGCAACTTAAAAGAAATCATGTTTTTTGATCATTGTGAGGGTCATTTATAACTTTTTTGAGGTTTTTTAGGTTCAACTAGAAGAGAATTTAATCGTGAATACAATAATTTTGTCTCGTTTCGATAGGATTTCAGTTTTTTGGTATCTTTCCCACCAATAGGTAAAATCGTAAAATGGAAAACCGAGAAATCGCTCGTCAAAGTTTTCATTCCGCTCGTATACATGCTCACTATTTCTTCTAAAAATATTTGAATTTGTTTCTGAAATTTTAGGGATATATTCTTGGCTAGTTTCGAATGACATTTTTGCAGAAAAAAAACGATTTATTTTTAGCCTCTAAAACAGGCTTCCCCCTTGACGACATTTAAAATCTAAAATCTCGAGTGGAAATTTAATATTATACTGCTTGATATCGAGCTAACTGAAGTTGGAACCCGAGACGTATGCTAGCCTACATTCTTAACCATTACACCAGAACGAACCCAATCAACTACATCGAAATTGTTGTAAGTGAATTATCACTTTAATCTACTATTACATAGATTTCAATGAATTGATACCAACAATGGTGGCACAACTTGTAAGTTAAAAAGTTTAAATAACAGCTCTTCAATGAATTTATATCTAAAGATATTATAAACTAGTTGTAAGTGGCATTTTGCCTTAGAGCAAGTTGCATGAACTTTTTTGAGAAAACGTCGATGTAAGGTTGAAAATCAGCTCACATACACACATAATTTTTTCCTTTTGGCCTCATTCGATTCAGAATGACTTAAAACGTCGAGAAAACATCAAATTAGCAAATCGAATTTTTTGGCGAAAAACAAACTTCTCCTTCAGAAGGAATAAAAAATCATAAAGTTATTTCTAGCTTGTAATAGTAATTTTATTCTCACACCATTTGCAATACAAAGCTGTAATTTTAGTATTAATTTGATTTTACACG